ATCCCTGTAAATTATTCTTTATTTCAGTTAGTGTATGCTTAATTCCTCCAATCCAAGTACTAACCAGGCCCGACCCTGCTTAGCTTCCGAGATCAGATGAGATCGGGCGCATTCAGGGTGGTATGGACGTAAACTATGCTTAATTTCTGACTGGTCCTTTTTCATGTCTTTGACATTCTCACTAAGATCCTTGAAAGTCTCACTAAGTCCCTTGAAGCTCTCATGAAGATCCTTGAGTAACCTTATAATCATTGTTTTGAACTCTGTATCTAGTAGTTTGCTTTCTTCCATTTCTTTCATTTGTAACATGTTTCTTTGTCTCTGTATTTTGTTTGCTTCCCTCTGTTTGTTTCTATGTATTAGGTAAAGCTGCTATGTTTCCTGGAATTGGTAGAGTGGCCTTGTGTAGTAGGTATCCTGTAGGGCCCAGTGGCTCAGCCTCCCCAGTCACCTGAGTTGGGTAGTCTAGGTGAACCCCTGTGTTGGCTGTGTGCACAGTCTTGTTGTAGTTGAGTCTGTTGGTGTACTGGGAGAAATTGACGTCCAGGCCAATTAGCTGTGAGGACTGCTGTGACTATAGTGGGAGAGCTGCTGTGCAGGAGACATCCTCTGGAGAGGACTTGCTTCACTGAGTCTGCCCCTTGAGTGTGTTGCTTGTGGATGTGTAGAGTTGTAGTCTGCTATGGTCTGAAGCTGTCCACTGGGTGTCCTGGCTCTAGAGTCTCCATGGAGGTGCAAAGTCAGCCACTGCCTGGGGCCACCTGGCAGGAGCTACAGAGAAATCTGCAGATGGCTTCTATTTGTATTGGGTTTGGAATTACCCAGGTGAAGCCCAGATGTGAAGCAAGGCAGGCTGGTGCTAGTGTTGGGTCTTGGTCCTTTTATTGATAGGTTTGGGGCTTCCTGTCATGAACTGCAGCTTGTTTGAGAGATTTTAGCAAAGTCTGAAGTCTGAGCCAGGATAGGCCATTCATATGGAAAAGCTGCTGCAAACAGCTTGGGTGGGGCAGCAAATTGGATGGGTCAGGTTCCCAGGGAATCACCAGGGCTGAGTAAACAGTGTGCTCCGGGCTGATGGAGATTCATATATGGCTGCCAGTCATCCCTGGGACAGGGGAGGTCCCAGCACAGGAACAATGACCCCTTCGAGCATGCCTATCTGGGAGAAAGCTGCCCTAGAGTTCCTGCCCTGATTCCAGACAATCCAGTTCCTCCCCGTATGTGTCTGGGTCCCCCAATACCTCCTGGTGCTGGAGTTTGTACAGGTCCAAGTAAGTTTGTGCACTGGCCCTTTAAGAGGGACACTTGGATGTCCAGCAGCCTCAATCCACGCTGGTTTTCACAATCCAAAATTATGCGGTCTTCTCTTCCCAGCTCTGAGACCATGGATTGGGGGTCTGGTGTGGGGCTAGGACCCCTTGCTCTTCACAGGCAGCCTCTACAGGGATAATTTCTTCCCGATTAAAAAACAGCACACGTGGGTGTCAGACCAACCCATTCCATGCCTCTGCCCTTCCTACCAGTCTTAATGTGCTTTCTTCTTTACTTCTCTAATTCAGCCAGCTTTCAGGTGGTTCTGAATGATGGTTGTTCTGTATTTTAGTTGTAATTTTGATGTGATTATGGGAGGCGGTGAGTACCCACGTTTACCTACACTGCTATCATGGTTCTCTCTCCTGACCCTGTTGTTTTAATGATCTTCTTCCCCCAGGATGTCTGATTCTTCTCTTCCAGGTTTTGTCCATGGGGCCTGAGTCAGGACACTGGTGGTCTGGCTGAAAAGGCAAGGCATAGCTGGAACCAATGTGAAACTTCTTCAGGGAAGCTTCATTTATCTCAGGGTTGACAAAATTTTTCTGTGGAGAGCTATAAGTATTTTAAGCTTTGCAAGCCATACATCTCTGTTGTAACTGTTCAACTCTGTTATAGCACAATAGTATCCATAAAAAATATGTAAATGAATAGGTAAAAGACATTATTTTAAAAAAGCAGGCAGTGGACTAAATTTGGCTGTCAAGGTTTCGTTTACCAACCTTTGATATATTCAGCTGCTGGGCACTTCTGTGTCCCTGGCCTCATAGTAGGCATAAGGGATGCTACAGAGAAGGACACAGGCCCAACCCTGGCAATGGTAGCTCAAGGGTGTGACGAAAGAGCAGCTGCAGAGTAACATGAGAGTGTACTTTACCAGAGGAGTTTGTAACTTGGAGTAGGGGCCAGACAGAGGTGGTTTTCTGGGAGAAGTGACATCGAAAGCTGAAACCCATGTCCTAACCATGAGCCAGGCATAGTGGGGAATTTAGGGGTCTCAAAGAAGTTTAGTATTCCTGGAGGTGTGGTGTGCATAGCGGGGATATAATGAAGGACAGAGCTGGAAAGATGAACCAGAAGCAGACCACACAGGCCTCAAAGCCAGCCATGTAGGGAGGCGGGCCTTCATCCTGACATCTCTAGGAGAGGGACTGCAAATTTTACCTTTGGGGGAGTGCCACTTGTCTGGTCCAAGGAGTACAGGGAGGCTATGGAAAATGGAAGGCTTGCCCTAGCCGGTCTGGCTCAGTGGATAGAGTGTCGGCCTGTGTACTGAAGGGTCCTGGGTTCCGGTCAAGGGCACATGCCCGGTTGCAGGCTCGATCCCCACTTGGGGGTGTGCAAGAGGCACCCAATCAATGATTCTCTCTCATCATTGATGTTTCTATCTCTTTCACTCTCTCCATTCCTCTCTGAAATCAATAAAAACATATTTTAAAAAAGAAAGAAAATGGGAGGCTTTTAAAAACCAGGGCGAGGGAACAAAGTTTGGTTATGGCATGTGAAATGGGCCAAGACAAGCAGCTCAGGACTGAAACCCAGGAAAATACAGTGGAAGTAACATTTTTATGATTTTCTTGTATCCTACAACCCCTCTACATGGGCTCCTACTCATCCCTCAAGGTCAAGTCCAAATGTCCCTTTATCTTTGGAGCTTCTCATGGGGAAGAGTTATAGGCTCCTTCCTCCAGACTATCATGACATCATACTGGGGGACACTTGTCACAGCAGTATCTCCTCATTGAGGTCTCAGAAGACATGCACAGAATAAGCACTAATAAATGCTTGATAAATTAAATTAAATGGCAAGGTGAATTAGCCAGGGTAGAGGTGGCTGATGAGCCACATTTTACAGTTGAGGAAATTGAGACTCGGAAGGCTAAGCAATTTGCCCAAATGATACATGTAAGAATTCTTCCCAGTTTAGTCATTTCAGCAGAAAAATTGGCTTTCTCTGTCTCTCCAGGCTGGAACTTTTCTTGCTCACCTCATAATTTGCTAAATTATTAATCTGTGAGGCAGTTAACTGAGCAGAAGCAAGAGGCACATTTAGCAGGAAGATAAAACAGACAAGAGAATTAGGAGGCATCTGGTTTTCAGACACTCCACCCTGTGGTGCTCCAAACGCTAACAGTGAAATTTAACCCTTCTTCTAAATCCCAGCTGGAACAATGTCTGGTGAGTGGTGAGGCCCTGGCCCTGAAGAAGTGCCTGGAATTCTTAAAGAATTGGGTCTTGAGGCTTTTGGAGCCTGTCTGGAGTGCCCTAGCAGCTGGGTTGGGGAATTCTCTTGGCTGTTTACTGCAGCCTATTTTTAGAAGGCAGTTCAAGCTGGGGTGGAGTTATGGCCCCCTCTACTCCCCCACCCCCGCCCCCAACTCTTCCCACCTCACCCAACCGGGATGCAGGACAGGATTATGGTCTTTTAACAGTGTGGCTCAGTTGGTTGAGGGTCGTCCCATGCACGGAGAGATCACTGTTTCTATTCCCAGTCCAGGCACATACCCGGGTTTCGGGCTACATCCCTGGTAGGGAGTGTGCAGGAGGCAGCTGATCTATGTTTCTCTCTTTCCCTAGCCCTTCCTATCTCTCTAAAAAAAAACCAATAAAAACAAATTGAAAAGGACTCAAGATGATGTTCCTACTTTAGTGGGTCTACACTTCCTGAATCCCACAGAACTGCCAGCTGCCTGGCCCGCCAGGTGATGGACTTGTGGGTGGGGTAGCCTAGGATAAGTGGGGTGGCCCAAGACAAGTGGGGTTTTGATCGTATCTATATCCGCTTGATATCTCCCAACTATATTTGGGTATTCCACAAGTGTGAGTGCTGGGCACTATGCATGCCTTCATGAAGCCCAAGAATAGATAATAAACAAGTAAATATGCAAATTGAGAACAGCAAGCCATGGTTGCCTATAGTAGGGTAAACTGAGCAAGCCTGTGAGAGGAGAAGGTGTGGAAAAGTCCCTTAGTTAACCCATTTAAGCTGAGCCTCAGTTTCCTCTTCTGGAAAAATGAGACCTATAATAGCTCCACCTGCATTACAACGTTGTCTTGAGGACCAAATATCAGTAAAGAGCTCTAAAATACTAATTAGTGTTATGTTAAGCCTGCTGTGGGGGTCTGAACATTATCTCTGAGTGAAGGAAGGCAGGGGGTTAGATGGGTTTAGGGAGAAAGAAGCTGCTTCCATTAGATCCTCATCAAAAAGTACCCAAAAGGGTGTCCCCAGCCTCAGGATGGGACCTACTCCTTTCTCTGGAAAAGGGCATCAGAGCCTCAGAATTACACCATCTAGGACAGTAAAGGCCCAGTTTTATAAACTGAGGCCAAGACAGGATTGGCAGACATCGGCGCCATCAGCAGAGCAGGCTACAGTTAGCTGGTTTGGGCTTTTGTACCTGTTGTGCTTGCACTTTGGGGAGATCTATGTTGGAGAAGTACACAGCCCGCCCCCGCCCCAAAAGGACCTAGCTTGCTGGAACAGGGGAGGCTGGTGCCTGAGAATCCTGCCCCTGCGCCTGTCACCCCTCCAGCTGCGGCTCTGCTAGTCCCGCCCCTTCCTGCAGCCCCGCCCCTTTCTGCCTTGTCCCCACGCTCCCTCCGGCGACCCCGCCTCCTGGCCCCGCCCCCTCCCGGGCCACATTCCTGCGGCCCGGCCTCGCGTGGCGCCCGGCGGGCGGGGCGGCGGCGGCGGAGGAGGAGGGCCGGGCTTGGCGGCCTGGGTACCCGGCTTGGGGCCGGGGCGGTGGGAACTAGTAGGCACTGGTGGTCGCCCAGGCGATCGCGTGGCGGGTGATCAGGTCCCCTGGTTGTCCGGCCTGGGCCCCGGGATCCGGCCGCCCCTGGCCGGAGTGGGCGGTTCTCGGCCCGGCCTGGGCCGCGGGCGCCGGGGCCGCCAGCTCCCGCCGCAGCCACCATGTGGTGCCTACACTGCCATTCGGAGCGGACCCAGTCTCTGCTGGAGCTGGAGCTTGACAGCGGGTAAGGGCCCGGGCGGGCTGAGGCAGGGGGGGCCGAGGGGCGGGAGCTGGAGCGAGGGCGGCGGGAGGGCTGAGGGAGGTCGCCTGCGGGCGGGGCGCCGCAACGCCGGCCCGGCCCAGCAGCGCGCCGCGTAGGGTGGGCTCCTGAGAGCCGTGCGCCGTGCGCTTTGTGCGATGGTTTGCTGGAGACGGCCGGGAGTGCGCGTGTGCGCCACGGAGAGGCCCTGGGCATGGGTGGGCGAGAGTTCGCGAGACCGTCCGGACAGACGCCTGTGAGACCGGGTGGAGCGTGTCTGTGTTCGTGCGGTGAGCCGGACACAGGACCCAGTCTTGTGCGTGTGAGAAACAGATGCTGCCAGGACGGGAGGTGTGTGTGTTCATGCCCATGAGTGACTGGATACACACGTGGGACAAACTGATGGGAGTTGGTATCTGGTGGAGGCGGGAGAGCAAGTGGTAAGGAGCTTGTGAGAGGAAGTGTGGCCAGTGGTGTCTGCTCTTGTGTCCTGCAGGCCTGTTTTTGTGAAGGCTGGTGCTTGGGATTACGTGTCCACTCTGTCAGGGGGTGTGCGCAAGGCTGAGGGACCCGTTCAGGTGTTGTGCACAGGTGGTTCTGGTGTCCTCCAGCCAGGGCCACCTGGGAGTGCACTGGGACACCTGGAACTGAGGAAGGTTGAGTTCTGTGTGGCTACTGTTGTGGCTGTGAGGGGACTGCTGGTGGGATTGGGGGTGTTTGTTCATATATGCCTGGTATGATCAGGAATAGAGAAGGGGAGAGGGAGCAGTGTCCCAGAAACCAACCCTTTTCTGCTTCACAGCCTGTGGGTGGCTGTTTGAACATCCAAGGGCCCATATTTATGGCGATAGAGCGTGTGTATGTGTGAGGAATATTGATTTCCTTGCTCCCCTCGCCAGCACAGCTGCCCCCTGAGCTGTCTTCAGGCCCCTCCTAGGAGCACAGGTTATGAGATGGGACGGGGGAGGGGGGGCCGTTGACAAGCTAATTTGGCTTGTGTCAGGCCCCCTGGGGGAAGGTCCACCTGCAACCAGCTGACAGTTGCACTGAGGACATGCATATGTTCCCCTCTGTCTCTTCCTCACCCCAGGGCCTGAGGCTTCATGTGAGGTGGTGTGGGTGCAGTTCCCAAGGACCATTGTTCCTTGCATCTGGGGTGGAGGCCAAACAAAGCTGCAGCTGCAGCGCCAGCTGTCTGGAATCAGGGGATCAGTCTGAGAATGAGGGTCCTGATATTCATATCCCACACATGCCACTGCCTTAAGCAGCTGTCCCACCTGGTATTGCATTCTTGTCCTTGTGGTACTGGCATCCCCATATTGCAGGAGAGAACACGGAGTTTGAGTGTTCAGTCTTGTCAGCACCAAGGCTCTGTGGTTTACTGAGTGCCTGCTGTGTACAGTCGCTGTTCTAGGTGCTGGGGACATATTAGTTCACCCTTCAGCCTCGCCACAGTTAGGTCACATTTGCTCCTTAGTGCCTGGGATATGGTTCTGAAGGAAGCCCAGGGAGGGCCAGAGAGAATCAGCCCAGCTTCTGGTCTGCAGAGGCTGTCAGGAGCTCCTTGCACTGGCCAGCTTGCCATCTCCCCCTCTCTTAACCCCGAAAGGATGCAGCATGCTCCAGAGACCTTGGGAGAACCCCAGTCTGTAACACTCCAAGACAACCTCTCATGGTATAGTGCACAAGCTTTTCTGATAGCCCTTGTGTGCAGCACCTGATGCTCTGTTGTTTGAGCCTTAAAGAGCCCCGGTCTCTCCCTACTCTCCCTTTCTAAATAGGCACGTTGGGTAGGGAATCCAGTGACTTAGGCAGAATATTACAAGGGGAGCCTGGAGTGAAACCCAGATGTTCTGATGTCGGGCCTCTAACAGGCCCTTGCCAGCCCTGCCAGAATTTTCATGCTTTTGCTCAAAAAAGTCTGACTCTGAACTAGTTGTGCTAATATTTACACAGCTTCAGTTCAAAAACAAGGACAGGACTGACATCTGCACAAACAGTGAGATGACTGCTCAAATAGGTGTTTCTGGAAGGGATTGGACAGGGCTCCCTGGATTGTGGGAGCTTGGTGTGCCTGTGTGTGTTAACTGGCTGGACTCTGGAACATGGGGTCATGGTTTGCTAGGAGAATCGGAGTCAAGGGCAGCTCTGAGAGGCAAACAGACTTTGTTTCAAATCCTTGCTCAAACTCATGTACAAGCTACCACACCCCTCTTAGCCTCAGTCTCCCCCTCTGTGGAAGGGAATAATAATACTGCTTCACAGAGGTACCTGAGAAAATGGGTGTCTAAAAGCCTTTGCCCAGCTGGCCAGCCCCAAGCCTTCAGTCAGATGGCTCGATCATTCAAGTCAGCATTCTGCTCTTCCCACTGCCACTAACCCCTTGGATTTTCTTCCTTCCTCTTTTGTAAATTTCCTTTGAATTATGATGGAATACCCTCCCATAAGCACAGTGGCAAGCTCTGATGGGCTTAGATCCCGCCAGGGGCGTGGGGAGAGTTCTGCAGAGGTGGCCCAGGTCCCTTGTGTAAATGTGTATTTGTGTGGTGGGGGAGGATGCTCAGAGGCTGTTGAGTGTGATTTTTTTGTCCTCAAAAGCAAATCATAATGAGTTTAAAGGCCATTAAGGCTCTTGAAGAATTATTGTTGTGGCCTTACCAAATCTGGCTGCTCCCATTGCATGAGCTGCTGCTGAGAGAAAAGTTACGGTGATTGTGGTGGAAAACATGGCATGGTTCCCCTGGACCTGCCACTCTTCTGGCTGCATAGCTGACCCCAGCTGGGTGAGTGCCCTCCAGGCCCTAGGCCCATGACAGGCACCACCCAAGTGAGCAAGTGAATGAGCCCATGGATTAGACATGCCCTCCTGAGCTTGGAGGGTTGCTTTGTTCTCTGGGGAGATGTTTGTGACCCAAGGGTGCCCAATGTTGCACTTTCCTGTTTGTTTTGTTTTCTTATTCACTCAGCAAACAGTTACTGAGAGCGTACTTTGTGCTAGACACTGAGCTAGATGTAGAGGAACCAAGGTTAATAATGTGAAACTGTGATCACAGAGCACAGGCTTTGAGGTCCCATAAAACCCCAATTCTTCCTCTTCCCAGCTGGCTTCAGGTATGTTGCCTCCCCTGTCTGAGCCTTGATTTTGTCATCCATGAAATGGGGCCAAAATTATTTCCTGGGAGGATGTGCTGTTTTGCCTCGTGTCTGGCACATATTAGATGCACCCAGAATGGCAGCTGTTGTCACCACCATCACTATTACACCACCTTTTCCCATTTGTGAAATTATTGCTGAATAAAAGTGGTTCCTCTCCGCTTTCCATTTTGCTAGTTTCTGAGTTGAAGACTGGTTTACTGGAGCCTTTGTGGATCTTTACAAGATCTCTCCTTGAGGGACCGAGGCCTGGTCCTAGTTGATCCAAGTTTAATATCTTTTTGTGCTTTATTCATATGTGGCTGTAGCTTCTGTGCTCCTTGATGGAAAGGATCATTCTTGCCATTTTATTTTCTTGGTTTGTGGCTTCCTAACATGGTAACAGTTTAAAATTTAACCTAAGGCCCAGATGTGGAAACATAGCAAGAGTTCCTTCCTTGTGTATATATGTGGGAAACTATGGTAGTATTGTTTTTCCTTTTTGTTCAAAGGTTGGAGCAATCTATATATATAAAAGCCTAAGCGACTGATCGATCGATCGATTGCTATGATGCGCACTGACCACCAGGGGGAAGATGCTCAAGACAACCTCCTGCGGCCCCTCCCCCTAGCCGGATGGCCCCAATTGGCCAGCCAACCTCCTGTAGCTCCCCCTCCTCCCCCTGGCCGGCTGGCCTGATGGCCCCGATTGGGGTGGCCAACCTCCTGCAGCAACTCCCCGAGGCCAGCCAACCTCCCACAGCCCCTCCCCCTAGCTGGCTGGCCCTGATTGGCCAGCCAACCTCCCGCAGCCCCTCCTCCCGGCCAGCCAACCTCCCACGGCCCCTCCCCCTGCTGGCCAACCTCCCTCGGCCCTAATCGCCCTGATCACTGTCCGGGCTGAGGGACCCCACCCGTGCATGAATTCATGCACCAGGCTTCTAGTAATGATAATAATAGCAATGGTTGCCATTTAGTAAACTCTGTGTGAAGTACTTAATTTTCAAAGCAATTTTCTGCTGTCCTTATTTTTTTCGGTTGGGAGAAGGTTACATGACTTGCCCAGGGTCACCAACCAGTAAGTGCTTGAGCTGGAATTCAGTCGGCCTGGCTTTGGGGTCTGTGCTCTTCATAACCAGGCTCTGCTTCCTCTGTGGTTAAATAATCTTTAGAAAAATATGTCACCATTATAAATGGAGCCTTTTGCACCTTTCCCAAGCCACAGAACAGGTGTTTGGTATCCCATGGTGTCAGGATTCCCAAAATATTTTCCAAATTTGGTATCCCCTGAGCTCTCTGACCTCACCGGTGTCTTGCAAGACCCCATAGACCCCCAAGAGTGGCTTCCTGAAACACTGCAGTGAGATTCTGAGACAGTGCCCTTTGGTTCTGAGCACTTGCAGCATTTTGAGGTAGCACGCTTGCCACAGGCCAGCCTCAGTGTGGAGCAGAGTCTTGGGAACAAAAGCTGACTCATTATGAGACCCTGGTGAGAAAACCCAAGGCCAGGGCCTTTGATGTCATTAGGGGACATGCATGCATACGGGCTGCTGAACTTGATCCCATGGGAGGGGAGAAGGAGCATCAGTAACCTGGAAAATTTGGAAAGTCACCAGCTAGTTAGTGAGTGGCTAGTTTGGGTTCCAGGCTGGATTGGAATCTGTTTGCCAGTATGAATGCTTTCTCTCCAAATGGTGTTTGTTTCTCTGTTTCTGGCCAGGAGGTTAGATGGTGTAAGGATTAAATGTCTTAGTGCACGTGAAACATTTAAAATGTTGCTCTATTGTATTATAGCAAGCACTCAATAAATGTTAGTTATAATCATTGTAATTGTTCTTATTTATCCTGATTAT